GGCTGTGCCAGCACCGCTGGCTTCACAGGCTCCTGCTTGGCGTTGATGACCTCCTGGCTCTTGACGTATTTTGCCTTGTCGGCTTCTAGCCTTTCCACCGCGCTCAGTCTTTTTGGATTAGGCTCCGCCTGCCTGCGAAAATAGTCGGGTCCTTTGTTCAGGATGCGGAGAGGAACGGCGGATGTGAAAGTGACGGCAGGGCTGACCGGCTTCACCATGCTACCTGTCGGTAGTGTTTCTGTAGGCATGTTTGGTGGCCTTTCCCCCGCAGCCGTTTTGGAATCTTCTCTGGGATCTCCTCAATGCACGGTGCAGAAACATGTACATTAAGCACAATGAATAGCCGATGAATCCTGGGATCTGAGCGTCAGCAGCAGCGCCTCATCTCACAGCTCATTAAATAACACTGCGTTTCTCTTTTAAAGGCAGCCTTTGTAGGGCAAGGCCACCCGACACAAGTCCCTATTAGTCTGCTCCGCCGACTCCTTTCTTCTCTCTGAAAGATGTGGGAGTCGCGCCGTCCCCTTTGTGCTCCGCTACCGGCAGCGATCTGAAACGCAGGAGAACCAACCACACGTTAGTGAGGGCGCCTGACATCAGAGCGATAGCAACAGCCGCCTCCCAGCCCTCCGCTCCCACCGCCGGCACAGGGGAGGCAGCACTTGGGGTGCCCACCTCTCTGCCTCTCGCTCCGCACCCCTGCCCATCTCACAAGAAACATGTCACTCGTTGCTGACAGCCTAAGCTTGGATTTAACAAAATTACACCAGAAAAGACAAAAATACACAAAAACAAGAAAGGCCAGTACAGTAAAGCCATGTATTTCTGGAAGCGAAATATGTCCATTCAGAGACTGAGACCCATCTATCTCCTGAAAGTCAGTGGAAGATCTTCACTTTTAAACTAATATACTGAGCTTTGATTAGTTGAGTTGCATATGCATTTTATCTCCAAACCTCAAACTTCTCTTTACATAGTCTGTAAATCAGAGAGATTAAGTATATTTTCCTTTTAAATTAAATGCTGCAGAAAACAAACCTGTCTAAAAAGGTGAGAGAAATCAGATATGTAGCATTTTAAGTGCAATGCACAGGTTTTGTCATTAATCTAAAATAAACAAGTATAAGTAGGAGATCTTGCTAAAGTCACCAATTGCAGTTCACAGTCTGTTTGAACATTAGTCCCCAAAGCACTGGTGCTCCAGAAAGTCATTTAAGGATTTTCAGGTTCTTGTGGTCACTTTACAGGCTTCACAGAACAACAGAAAATGCCTTTGTTTTTTTGAGGAAAGATCTCCAGAGCATGCAAAAACATTCTGACTGGGTTTGAAAGAAATGAACTTGTCTTCACATTTGGACATAATCACCTGAGTTTTCTACCAAGCACTAACTGCATATGAAGCTTACCTTCATCTTAATTATTTTAAGTTCCTGTCTCTTAGGATTGTCACAACAGTCTCAAATGCAACACCATGGATGACACTGCAAGTGCTGTAACAATTTCTCCCACATGAGGCACTGAAGGGCACTTATAACGGAATCTACTTTTCAGTCAATTATTTATATAATGGGTCTCATTTGTTTTATTACTACTCCATTAATCTATATTGCCCTTTTTAATATCCCATTTCTGTTATCACTGTGTTCTTCAGAGAGAGAAAGAAAAGAAACTGCTGCTTCTTCACGTGTCCTCAGGAAGGCAGAGCAGCATCCTTCCCAGGGATGACCTGCCTTCTTGTGTACTGCCATGATGTGCCTGCTCATCCATCAATACTCTATTTACTAATTCAGGGTGTGCTATCAGTATATTGTTTGGTCGAAAAAACCCCACAAAAACCCTTAAATTCCAGCTACATGTACATTACTAGTAACAAGAAAACAACGTCAAATGCTGATTCCCAGAAATGCATTACATGTACACTGAATATTCTCTCTAAATCATCCAAGGTCAAAGCAAGCAAACGAAATATATAAATGCTATAATGAGATTATATGAAAAAGCTGAGCTTTCTCCTGAAGGCTCCCTGTCAGCAGCATTCTTCAAATACAAACTAACATATTTAGGTGGGTGATAAACCACACAAGCATTCAGTGTAATTGAAAGGGTAGTGAAATGTTAATTAAGCTTCCCGTTCAATGTTGTTATATAAATCCGACTGCTAACTCCTCACCAGTTTGACTTCCTGAATTTTAAGTAAGTATTTCTGAAGGAGAAAAAGCTTGCTTTCCTCATTTGAATCAACATATTTATTGGTACTATTTTTAAATTAAGTATCAAATTCCAAAAATTCCTGAAGGCAATTCCAACACTCATCCATACACACACACACATTTCTCTTCTGTACACACAAATCAAATCTTTACACGTTGCCAGCCCAGAGCTTGATGGCTAAGTGCTTGTAAAAATAACCCACTGGTGTGTATGTTTGATACCTACGTGCAGAAATCAAATCTATGTGACAGCATGGGCCTTGTCAGGAGGAAGAATAACCCCCAAAACCATATCACCAATTCTTTCTCCTAAACAGTGTCACCCAACTGATATAATGCCACTTAAATAAGCAAGACCAAAAATCTCAATTTCTTCCCCAGACAAGGTCATTAAAAGCCACCATGGTCCTGCTCTGGAGGATAGTTGCCAAATCTATTCTCCTCCTGGCAAGTGTATCCACACAACACTGCAGATTGGAGCTGTGGGAACTGAGGCATTGGACTTTTGGAAGTCTTTTCTCAGCACTTAACAACTTCCTCACTCTGGACTGCCCTAGTCATTGCCAGCAAGCACTGCTTAAGAGGCTAAGCATCCACATTTGCTTCAATACCACACTTAAAAGGAAAAAAAGTAAGTAAAAAAAGAAAATCCCAGTGTGCATGCATGTTCACCCAAGAGAACAAGAGTGCTTGTTTGCAAGCACATGCAGGGCCAAGTGCCCTGAAGTCAATGGAAATATGCTGTGACTGGCAATGAGCTTCAGGCATGCCTAGAAAGAAAAGCAAAGACCTGCTGAGGAGCCCAGGCAGAAATGTTCACTCAAGCATAGGGAACCTAGGGAATAACAGCCAGGTGATGATGTGGCCAGACAAGGAGGCTTTGTACCTGTGAGGCTGCTGGTATAAATTAAGGTACATGCAGCTACAAAAAAGGATTAGCTACATTTTTGTGTGTTCTTTAAATTGCTCCATTTCACTTAGGTGCTGAACTTAAATATCACAGGGATGTTTATTCAGTAGTCTCGTCTCTGAAACACAGCAGAGACACTAGAGAGCCTTCCTACTTAGTAATTTCATTGGCAATGAAAAAGGCTGAGCAGCAGCAGTACACTGTAGTCTCAGGAAGCAAAATTGTGCCACTGAAGTCTCCAATTGTGAAAATCACCATTGTAGCAACGGGGGTAAAAAAGTGGCTTTCTTCTGGCTAAAACTCCAAAGAAACTCACTGCATAAGCACCTGAATTTCCTGTCTGCATACAGCTCTAGCATCGGTTTTGCACTGCAGAAATTCAAGGGCAAATTGGTGTTCTTCACCTGCCCACAGGAAATGTGTGAAATGTACTTAGGGACCTAAGAAATGGTCCTTTTACTCTATTTACATATGAATGTCTACTCTGTAAGTGTAATTCTTCTGTGGACTGAATTGTGTTTTCAGGATTCACTCTGGACTTGCACTATTGCTCTTCCTTGTAATAATTCATAAACCCAAGAGATTATATAAAGAAAAACAAAGCTAAAAACTTTGCAAACATTCAACCGTAGTTCATTTTAATACTATGTACACGTTAATAAAACCTTTATTAAAGATCTTACTAACTGAGATCCTCTAACACCCAACAACTGTTACAGACCTGCTGAGTAGAATACATAACATACACAGGGGTAGACAGGGTTTGGATTTTTAAAGCTGTATTTTCACATGGATAGTTCAATTCAGGATTCCTTTGCAACAGAGGCAGAGATCCAAAGCTCTTATTCATTCTAGGCATCGTGCTCTTAATCATTCTTAGGTCTGTAATATGTTTGTCAGATATTCATATTTAAATTACAGATGCACTATCTGTATGATTTAGGGGAACACAATAAAACCTAGAGCAGCAATAGCTATACAACTGACATTAACTACAAATAAATCCTCTAGAAAATATTCTTTCATTGATCACAGTAGGAGGAGATAAACTTTAGAATTACAGTTCTATATAGTCTATATATGCAGTTTTTTGAAATTTAAAAGACATCCATGAACTGGCCCCAGTCTGGCAAGTATTTATTTCTAGCTTTATTATTAAAACAATTTTATTGTAGAATACTCAATGTTTTTTCTCTCATACCTAAAGATGTACTCCAAACAAAAACTGAATTATGCTAACTGACAGCAAACAACACACTTCCCTCCTCAGTTCTCTGTTGCCCTGTAGGTCTTAAACCTTGGCGAAGTTTCAGCCAGTCTCTGCCTAAAAGTATCCACAGAAGAGCACTACATATTTTAACAATATTCAAGATGCAAAAAAGCAGCAAAAATACAACAGTGAAAATGCAGCCCAAATGAAATCGGTGGAATTTCTGCTCTTGACTTTGGCAAGGACACAGCTTCACCAAAGAAAGCTACAATGAAGCTCAGGCTCTTAACTCATCCCTCTGGGATAGCAGATGAAGGGACTGTACAGGAGGTAGGATGAAGCTCAGTGAATAAATACCGCAAAGGCTGACAGCCTTTACTCAGCTTTCCTTGAAATTTAAAGGCTTGTGTCAATTTTATTTTCCAGATGATAAAATATAACTACCACTACCTCAAGATGCACCATAAACAACCCATAAATTCCAGCATAAGTAATCAAAAAGTGATCTCAATAGGACTCAAAGAGATCACAAAACAAAACCTGCATAGGAACACAGGGCACAGATGGAAAATGTCAGGCTCTGATAATGAATGACTAGGTGTGCTTTAGAGGTACCATTATGAAGATGCTGCTTTGATAGCAGTCCCTGCAAAGCTCACAAATGAGTACTTCACTGGGACTGACTTGCTACAGGTCTGTGCACTAAGTTATACCAATGTGTATGTCTAAAACTGATCTAAGTTCTTCTGTGGATAACTGTAATTATAACCCCCCCATATAATATTACTAAGTTTAAAAATATAGGTTAAACCCAAATAAACTAGGCTTAAACTGACTTCAGATACTTCAAACCCAGAATGGCAGCAGTATTTCGTTTTTGAAAACAATTTTAGATAAACATCTATGGGTGTAGACTTGGTCTCACATAATACAGGTGAATGTATAACAGACTGATATATTCATGCAAATACTGCTTTGCTCTTATATCACACTCCAAGACTTAAAAGATAAAAGTCTCCATAAACAAAACACTGC